GAAACATTTTTGAGATGATGAGAATTGCTTGTGAAATAATTGTTGAAGAAAGGCTGAAAATAAAGAGAAGAAAATAATGGGTGATGAAGTCTAGAAGTGCAAAGTGCTTAAGAAAGTATAAGTCACTATTATATAGTTTTACTACATGTCTCCTAGCCTACATTACAACCCGTTAAAGTCATATTTGATTCTATTCAAGCATGCTTAACTAGTGGAGATGTACACAATGAGCAAGTCTATGGTTCTTTGTGCATACATGTGAATTTTCTTTGTGAGTGTGAGTTGTTTTTTTATTTTAAGTCCTTAATTTATATTCAATCTTTTAAATTGAGTGTGTGGACTTTTTCTTTTTGTGAGGGCACTTTTTTCATGATGGATATGTGATGTTATTAACTTCTTTGATGAGAGTTGGTGAGCAAACTTAAATTTGATGAGTTCAAAGTCTTTCCATGAGGTTAGGAAGTTAGAGATTGGTTGTTTATTTTAATGTCTTGCATAATAATTGAGAATTGTGCTTGATGTTTTAAAGTTAGTATATGGCCTAATTGTTTGTATTAACCAAATTGATGACATTCCTAGTATGATTTATTTGAGATGAACTTTAATGCTTGCTCGAGGACGAACAAAAGTTTAAGTGATGAAAAAGGTGACAACTCTTTTGAAAAATTACAACCCTTCTGAAAGGTACAACCTTTCATAAACGTCACATTTTCATAAAAGTCGCAACTCTTCATAAAAGTTACAATTTTTCATAAAAGGCACAACCTTTTATGAAAGAGAAGACTAGTTTTGAAAATAAATAAATTAAAAGGGAATTCTGGTTTCTGGTGGCGTCACTATGCGGACCTAGGGTTCTCTTTTATATATATTAGAGCACATGCTTCGCACGTATGTTTCATGTAAATTTTTATAGATATGTTAGAATGACTAAAATTTCATAATGTGTGTGCGTGTAAATTGTATTGAATAATTAAATGTAACAATTATAAAATAAGACTAAAGATTTACGGCAATAAAACATTCATAGAAAATTAAACTAGAAGTCTAATAGAGAAAAAAAAAGGACAAAAAAGAAACAGATTTAAGAAAAAATACAATGTAGAAATTATTCTTATAAGATTGATGTATATATAGATGAAAAAATAAGTACAAAATTAGTACACAACTCTATGAGTTCTTACCGATTTCTTTTTTATCCTATCAAAATTTAAGAGTCTTTTTCATTTACATTAACTATAGAATAAAAAAAAATAGCCTAATAATCTTGGTAGGGGTTTCATGAGATAAAGAAGTTGAATTTATATAGATAGAATAGAAGGAATATCAAAGATATCTATCTTAGAGTTTTAATTTAAATATTTGGAGGTTATGAATATGAAAAGATGAGAGTTATGGATGTTAAGAGTAAAAATGTTGAATAAGTAATTAGAAAATAATAATAAATAAATGAAGAATGTGAAAAAGAAAATTAAAGTTAGCAAACCATGTAGAAAGAACAACTAAACTTCTTATCACGTAATTAAGCATCAATGAATTTATATCATGAATCTAGAGTCATTTTTTAATAATAATCAAGAGGACATTATCAATGTGTGTGTCTCCATTTTGCAGATTTGCACCCTTTTAAATTATTAAATTTCGTTATTTATCATAAAGAATAATACTTTATCCACATAATTATATTATTTATGAGAGGGCTTAAGAAAAAAGTTATCAAAAAGAGGAAAAGTATAGCAAGTAGTGACTTTTTTTTACAAAAAATAAAAATATTATATGCATATAGATTATAGATGATAAATATTAATAAATAAAAAGTTTAATTAGAAATTAATCTTAGGAATCCTAAAAGTCATTAACATTTTAATTAAACTTATACAATCAAATATTTAAATATTATAATAATTTAATTTATAGAAGTTATAAAAACGTAATTCAACTTTCAACTTTTTTTGTTCTTGCTTTTAGTAATATACTAGTTTTTGAGCAAGTGATTTGCACATGTATTCCAAGGTAAGTAATTGTTTATTAAATTAATATTAGAATTGATGTGTGATGAGTTATATGAACTTTTGAAAGAGATAGGTTACCTTTTGCCTGAATTAAACTTCAGAGTCCTTTCATAATCAATTTAATAGAAATAATTAGTTAAAATGTATATAAAATATTAAATGTAACATGACAAGCTATTAAGATCAACATGCTTTGTGCGATGCCACATCAAATCAGACAAAGAACTTCAAACAATGAATTAATCCTCTAAATTACAAGTTCATCTACAATATATCATTTCATATATAATAAAACTTATTTATAGTAATTCATGCAATTACACATTCAAGTGTAACCCGAACTAAAGCTTAATAGCATAAAGGAACAACAACTTTACTAATCAAAATCACCGAGGGGTAAACTACCACTAAAATACCAAAAGAAAGAATTTGATTGAAGAGTAAAAATATGTCTTTAAACTTTATGTGGTCATTCAATTGGATAGGATTTATTTAGTTTGTAATTGCTTTAGTTTAAGATATTCTATTTATCTAATAGTATAGCTAGATAGATACACATTAAAACCTTGAATATACTTTTTTCCTTTAAAGCTTGTAACGCCAAACATGCAATCTCATTTATTTATAAATTTAATCTATTATTGTATTTCTAAAGAATAACATAAAATATGGTAGATTAAAGGTAAATAGATGCAAGAGAATTTCCTTTTGAAGTTATAGAATAATATCATAATAAAATGATACGATGTAAAAAAATATATATAGTGTGCAGCTTTTGTTTGCCTAGTCACCACAAAGTACGTAACCAATAAAAAAAATAACATTAGAGTTTTCTAGCTTTTCGACTCTAATAATAATCATATGACGGATATAGTAGTATTCCATGCAATATGTATTGGGGACTTGGGGTGAGAAGGATAAAACAAAAAACAAAAAAAAAATCTAAAAAGCAAACAAAATAGACCAAATATAAAAGAATAAATATATAATAAAATCTATAAACAGTACATAATATATGTATTCATATGTAGATTTTTTTCCATTCAACATCACTTAAACTTTGAAAAATGGCCATAGATATCAAATGATACAAGAAGCAAAAGAGAAGTAATATCAAAATTAAAGAATCAAGAGATACAATACTGAAATGTGACTAATTTTTTTTAAAAAAAAAAACTCTTGTTTTTCATTATTCCTCACACCTTGATATGAAGCTGATGAAAAATCATTCATTTCATCGACATTTCCATGGTTTATTATCTTAAAAAAAACAAGCAAAAAAAGAAAGAAATAACTAAGATTACTTCATGACAAAGTTTACAGAAAAATACATTCTCATGAAGCACACAAATGTATTTATAAGTTAATAAATATATAATGTCATATTGAAACTCAAAAGTCATGCTGGAAAAAAAAATAAAGTCATACAAATAACTCTTAGGTTCACCATACATGCACTTGCAATTAATTTGTGATTGGTTCTTCACCATATATGCACTTGCATTAAATTTGTAATTATTTCTTTTCGCTAATTCATTATACAATGTAATTAATAATTATTTAATTTTCATGCTAATAAATAACTCATAATCTAAAATATAATTGAAATATTATTACCTAATATAGAATTTAATTAGGTATTAAAAATATTTTAACTAACAATAAGGGCAAAACTGTAATTCAACTTTAAAGACAAAACCTTCCCACATATATATATATATATATATGATACGAGTAAATTACACACGCTTCATGCGAGAATTTTGTATCAAAAGATTTTACAAAATAATGTTTAAAACCTACTGGTCATTAAAACTAATACACTATGTTGTCTTACATACAGGATTACGTAGTATCGAACATTAATAATATAAAATAAAATGATAATCATAATTTCTTATCATTTATCCTTCAATCACTTTAATTTGATTTTACAATTTATCCTTTTGCCTTCCGAAAGTGTTACTATTTGATATTTTTGTTGAAATTAGATGAACATCAACCTACGATATAAAATTTTCTAATAAATAATCTAAATTTGTACTATCAAATACTTATAACAATAACTTTACAGAAATATAAGCAACAAAGTTTAAAACATTTACTCAAAAACAACAATAAATATCATAAGCATATTGTAAAGAAGATCTTCACAACGTGTAGCTCCTCTCAGTTCCTTCATGTGGCTGTTCAGTTTCTTCTTTGTACCAAGAAAGTGGAACTCAACAGATTATTGTTTATTGAGTTACAATCAACAAATTTTTTGTACATGCTAGCTCAAAACTAATTAATTGATCAGGACATGGCGAAATGGTTAAGTTGTAAGGCTAATCCTATCAGTGTAGTTGATGAAAGAGAAGCACAGACTGCCTCTATATGTAATAATATTCAACAACTCTTACACGGAACAACTTTTGCTTCAGACTTCTTGCTATTGTTTTGGGGGTGAAATTGTTGAACAGGTTGAGCAGAGTCCTGTTTGACTTTAGCAATAGGACCATTGAATTTATGTACATGTGCTAAGAGATTCTAGTAGTCCGCTCAAGGCATCTAATGCAAAGGTCTTTTGGTCGGGCCATTCCCCGAACCCTGCACATAGCAGGAGCTTTAGTGCCAGGCTGCCCTTTTTTATTCACTTCTTTTTGACAGGGGAGCTGCATCTATTTATTGATGTGAACTCATGTACGCAGATACGAGATTAGGCAATATGCTAGGTTCTATATTCTTGGTGAGCCCCTCTCTGTTCTAGGGGCTTAGTCTAACGTTCTTGAGTTCTCCAATCATTCACATTTCTTCTTAAATTTATTTCACATCCTGTTTCGTCAAAACTAACAGATATGTATACATTTGTGAGAGATATTTGTTATTCTTTTACTACTTTTGACCATTAAGTAGGATGTCTTGTTTGACGGTTTCAACATCAAAGTCTTCCTTACACTTATGCTTTTCTCGTCATAACAACAATAAAATGCCAATATCAAATTTCACAAAAAGAGAATTGGATGAAACAATGAATAGCATAAATTTGTATTTTTCAAGTCAAAATGAACAAATCTGATAGAAAAAGACCATGCTGCCATATCTTCGACAAAGAACCTCAAGTAAATTTTTCTAGTTCATCGTCAGTATGCACTAGTTTTAGGTCTCGTAAACTTATTTAACACAACCACATAAAGGAGGGGTTCACGAGCCATAAATGTTGATAAAAGTACTTAACCGCTGGCGTTAATATTGTCAGCAGAATGGCGCATCAATCCACAGAATGAGGAGGCATGAAAATACAAAAAGTTTCAAGTCTTCTAATCAAGTGACTTGAGTTTTTTTTCTTAAATAAATATTGTCTATATCCATTTGACAAGAGGTGGTTAGTCATTTTAACTCAACTTCACAAGCAGAAATTCCTTGTTTACTAATACTATACGAAATGGTTAAGAAACAAACAAGGAATTATTTTATTTCTCGGTCTACTGTCTTTTATTTTTCTCATTTCTAATCCTATTGCTTGACAAAATTTCACGGGCAAAAGAATTTGCACCATTTTCCTACTCATAATCACCTCAAGCAGGAAGTGAGCTCAACGAACAAATTCTCTTTGCAAGGTATTGTGAGACCTCCCATTAATTGATCAAAGCCAAACTTTTATATAGATTGACTTAAGTATGATATTGGCACGATAAATCACTCTTTCTGGCTCTCCTACATATACTGCGCAATGTCCTTTTGGAACAACTCCAGATGTATCGAAGACCTCCTTAGAATTTGATTAGCGTGAATAAATGGAGTTATTTTGATACCCATTATCGCAAGAAATAAGATGTAACTCTAACTAATGAAGGGAAACAAAGAACTTGTGTTTTGTTGACATGTTTGGCTTTGAAATATATATATATATATACAAGCTTATCACAAGCTTCATATCAAATATTACTTGTGAGACAATGGCACATGAAGCTTCACATGGCTTTGCTTACTCTATTACTATCAACTACTCAGACAATAAATATGTTGAAGAGCAACATTAGGCCCCAGATTTATTTCACGAAATAGAATCAACAAAAATTGATGAAGTTGATTGCCAAGATAGAAATCTAAAGGTCACCTATCTACATGACAAAGAAAAGAGCGGAACTTGGTTTTGCTTCTTACCAGAAATTGTTCAATTAATGGTTTCAAACTATTAGCATTGAGAGAAGAAAGCAAGAAACTTATCATCAATTATTTTCAAACAAGCTGCATCCACAAATTTTAGGCCCCATATAGACATGGACAACAGACATTGGCACATGGCTTTGCCTGCGGTGGTTAGTGACAAAAACTTAGCTCCATTTTGTGTAAATAATCCCCCATTCATGATCCTTTCTCATCATCAAGCACAAGAATTATCAATTTATCCATCAAAAGTCTCTAAATTTCTCATTCACTTTCTTGTTACCAGTATTCAAAGGAAAAATGGAAATGCTCAGCGCTAAGAAACTCATCAAGATGGCCAGGAAATGGCAGAAGTTTGAATCCATGCAGAGGAAGAGAATTTCATTTCCAAGAAATGGGAGTGATGTAGAAAGGTGCAGTACTTTTTCATCCTCTATAGTCGAGAAAAACCATTTTGTAGTATATACAATTGATCAAGCTCGTTTTGTCGTTCCCTTGGCTTACCTTGAAAATGAGGTTATTAGACAGCTTTTGGACATGTCCGAAGAAGAGTTTGGGTTGTCAAGTGGTGGCCCTATTACATTACCTTGTGAATCAGACTTCATGGACTACATCATATCACTAATAACTACTGAAGATCTTGTCAACGCGTTGCTCCTATCAATTCCTTCCTCTTGTTGTTCGACTTCTTCTTTGTGCCAAGAAAGTGGAAGACAACAGCTTCTTGTTTGTTGAGTGAAGGTTAAGAATTTTGTTGTACATGCTAGCTGAAAAATAGTTTTTTAGACGGTAAAGATTGAAGTGTACACAATTGTAAAGCAAATCATTCACATTGATTATTATTTTTGTGAGAAAATTTACCATATTCAAGACTTCTACTTTTCAGTTTGGTTACAGAAGTCCTAACAATCTAATCTTGGATTGATGTATTTTCTTTTCATAAGCGAAAAACTCTAATTCAAGCATGATAAATATATAATTATAAATAAGTTTTCAAAGGCAAAATGGCATACACCTATCACCATTTTTTGATCTGTATTGTTTAATCTAATCTTGTCAGATTCATTTATTAAGTTGAATCAAAACAATTTGGTAATATGAAAGATGAAAAATCTGTAGGTTACAAAAGCAATTAATTATGGGGAGTTAGTTCCTGGATTATTGTAGGAAAGAATATCCAGTTGTTTATTTCCAAGGTTTTCTTGCTATTCTTGAACTTGCACAGCCGAAGCCACCAGTTGAGAGTTGATTTCATAGATGGTACTCAACTAATAGTAATTATCTCAGAAAGTCACTTCATTTGTTGCAAACTATCCATTGAGTAATTTTATGGGGATAAGGCACAAGTGCCCCTAGACTATGACCGAAATCCCACAGATACTGCTTTTAATTAAACTAAATTTTTTTTATGTAACTTTATATATATACTAGTTTCTGAGCACGTGCAAAGCACGTGTGTTTCATGTAAATTTTTAGAGATATGTTAGAATGAATATCCTGATTGAAATTGTGTTATAGAAATACTCGGATAAATCAATATACCTTGAATTTCAAGAACACTTCAAATTGCATCACATATAAATCTAAGAAGAGGCATATTCTACAATAAGAGGGGGGGGGGTTAGAAGAAAACAACAACAAAGAAATAGTGTTAAAAATTTGAAAACTTCCAGTTTCAAAAAAGAAAAATGGTAAAGGGCAGGGGATGCTGGAGGACTATGAGATTTCTAGGAGCACAAAATCAATTTCTCACCATTGTCGTTGTCGAGAAATCACTGTAGACACCACACTTCATATGTTCTTCATGATTGTCTTAAAGTCTTCGATTTCTTAACTAAAATAACGTTCCTATATCTTCCATGCCTTTTGAAATGTATATGAAGATGAAATTATTTATTTAAAGATGAAACATAGTTTCTTTATTTACCTGAAGAAAGTCATTATTCACTTGGAAAAAAGATTTATTACTTTCAATTGTCTTTTCGTTTACCCTATTTATGGTTATTTAAATGTAAGTTTAACTGTTGTCTTTTCAATATCCTAATTATTGTAATTGAAGTGTGAATTTATTTTTTAGGTCATTAAAAATGAAAATATTGTGCTTTTATTTTCATATAATGTGATATATATTAAAATAATATTCAAATAAAGGGCAAATTCCTTGCAAAATTTTCCCATTGTTGTGAATAAAACATTTGTATCCAAACACTCTTAGATGAGAGATGTTGGGCTTTCTTCTTTTTAGTGATTCACAAGGAGTTTTCTCTAACAGAGGTCTATACATGCATCTATTTATAGTATCGCTGGCAGTGTTTATTGCTTCTGCCCAAAAATGATTGGTGATTTTACTTGCGATCGTCATGGTTCTAGCTATTTCATGAAAAGTTCTGTTCTATCTTTCAACCACACTGTTTTGTTGAGGGGTTCTAGGGGCAGAAAAATTATGATCAACTCTATGCGAGTCACAATATTGGGCAAACTTTGAATTCTAAAATTCAGTTCCATGGTCGGATCTGATTGCCATTAATTGTTTTCCAAATTTTGTTTGAATTTTTCTCATTAATGAACAAAAAGCCACAAAGGCATCATCTTTTGATGCAAGAAACAGTAACCAGGTGTACCTAGTATAATCATCAACTAAAACAAACATATATCATTTTCCTCCTCTACTTTGAACCCTTATTGGTCCACACATGTCCATGTGAATTAGTTCTAAGGAACATGTTGAGCTTATCATCTGTTTTGATTTAAAAGATGATTTTATCTGTTTCCCTAGAGTACATGCTTCACACGCCTTATCTTCCTTGGATTTTATTTTAGGAAGTCCTATAACTAAATCCTTAGTGATGAGTTTGTTCAATTGTACTTGGCTAACATGACCCAACCATTTATACCATAACAAGGGATCTTTATCCAACACGCTTAAACATACCAAATTTTTATCAGAGATAGATGAGGTGTCTACGGTGTAGACATGTTTATCTCTTTTTCCGGTTAATACTATCTTTGTGTGCTTAGGTTAATTACTTCAACACCAGTGGATCTAAAGAATAGATTGTTTCTTTTGTTAGATAATAGAGATATGCTGAGTAGGTTGTGTCTAAGTCCTTCCACATAATAGACTCTATCAATTGAGTGTTCATCAGATCTTCCAATCTTACCACGTCCTCTGTTTAGACCCTTTTTTCCACCACCAAAAGCTACCATTCCTCCTTTTCCTTCTTCCAGTGAGAGAAATAATGTTTTATTACATGTCATGTGGCTTGAGCAAGCACTATGCAAGTATCAATGTTGCTTGTTTTCTCTCACTTCTTCCTGAAAAAAAGAATAATTAGAGGTTAGATTTACGAACCCAGATTAACTTGGGTCCTTTGTTTTGATCAAAAGGTAAATAATATCTCTATGAGCCCACTTGGGCAGACTGTTTTTTCTAGGAATATACTTGTTCCTCTTCTATAGTTCCATAAGTTCCTTTTGTTTTATTTTCTCCAGTAGCTACGTATTTAGGACAATATTGTTTAGAATGACCTGAGTTCTACAAATAATACAAAACATAGGATTCCTATTTAAGGGTTGTTTATAACCTATTTCGATTTTAATGTTCCTATTATTGTTACCTGGATGAGTTACTAGCATGAAGGATTTTTTCCACCTATTTTCTCTTTCCATATCACTTTTCATCCTATTTAATTCAAGATTTATTCTCATAGAGTTTTCTTCTTCTAGATTTAAGTGATTTTTGAGTTTGTCTACTTCAAGTTTTTGATTAGGCAGTTCACCCACTTTTTCTTTGCCAAGAACTTTTAGTTTTAGATTCTCAGTTCTTAGTTCCATATTGTGTGATTCAAGTTTCTTGATTTTCTCTTGTAGATCAATATACTCAAACTTTAAGCTAGACATGGAAGAAAACAATGGGTTCTTCATTTTAACAAGTTCTTGAATTGTGTCTATGGAAGCAAGTAATAGGAATGATAGCTTTTCTTAGAGAACTTTTCTAGTTTATTTTATCTTTTAAGTCAAGAAGATTTACCTCAGTTTCTTCAGAGTTTGATTCAGTTTCAGGTTCTGATTCTGCCATCGCCATCAAAGCTATGTCCTCATTATCTTCTTCATACATATATGAAGAACCTATTTCCCAAGTTGTATACATTGCTTGGTCTTTTTCTTTATTTTTATTTTTATTAAAGAGTTCTTTCTTTTCTTTTTCAACTTTTTCCTTTATCCATTCTAATTTCCACATTGGGCACTCCTTGATCTGGTGATCTGTCTTACCACACTTGAAGCAGTCTCCGCTTTGTGGTCTCTCAAGATTTTCTTCTTTCATGGGTGGTGATTTTTTACTAGCGTTTAAGTACTTTGTCAACCTGTTTCGCAGTGGTGTATACTTTGCCCAAGATATTAGTTCATTTACCACAGTGGTGAATCTGGTAATTATGTCTTGAAGAGATTCTCCGGACTTCATCTTGAAGGCTTCATATTCAGAAAAAAGTCTGGCATTTCAGAATTTTCGAACTTGAGTTGTACCTTCGTGAGCGAAATGTAACATATCATATATTTGTTTTGAAGAGGTACAACTTGAAATACTATTAAACTCATCAGGTCCTAGTCCACATACGAGAATACACTTAGCTTTTGCATTCTTTCCTAAGATCTTATAATCAACTTCATCGTATTTATCTGTGGGTTTAGGTATTTTATTCGCTTCACTATTAGTAATAGTAGGAGTTAGTGGTCCCTTAGTGATTCTAACTCATATTTCATAGTCTTCATTTTGAATGAAGTCTTCGATCATTGCCTTCCAACATGAGTAGTATTATCCATTAAATAAAGGAGGTATGTTGATGTGCTGTCCTTGACCATGTCCGATCCGAGGTGCAGAACTCATATTGATTTTTCAATTGAGTTATTAGACTCTTGATTAATATAAACCGCTCTTATACCACTTGTTAAAATTCTACCCTTCTGAATTCTTCACAGGAACACGTATAGACAACATGTTTCTGTTTGTATAAGACTTTAACAACAAACTAATCGAACAACACTTCGTATTATTTATAATACTAGTTTTCGTGCACGCGCATTGTGCGTGTTTCCCAATAATAATATTTTTAAAGTTACATGCATATTTAGTTTTGAAAATAAAAATAGTAAAAATTTGCAACTAAGATTATTTTTTAAGAATTAAAATAAATAGTTATTCATCCAATTGATTAATCTATAAAAAAATGAATCTATAGTTGAAGCAATTATATTTACAATATATTATAAAAATAAATCAATTGATGAAAATTCTAAAATCAGTATTTTAAAGAAATCAACTTCCTCCTTTTCATAGCTCATTAATTTCTGCTAGCACTCCTTACGAAGATAATAATTTTCATATATCATTCAATGACTGTTAACTGTTCGATGTAAATTGATATGAAAATTATTTAATTTCAACATGTATCAACTCTACATGTTTCTCTATTTCCCGTTTTCTTTAGTTCATGCAAAAGGAAAAATTTAAGGGAAAAGAAAGAAACTTAGAAGGAAGGTTAGATGCTCAACTAAAGAAACAAAACTTGAAGGAAATGAAAATCATTTGTTACCTTTATATAGTATTTCTTTTATGTTCTTTGAAATTCCTTTTCACATAATACTAATTAACCTACACTTAAATACTTAATGAATTATTCAAATTCTACTGATGTTGTATTAACAATGATTGGTTACTAATTTAAAAGTGTTAGAATTTGATAAGTCAAGTTAAGAAAATGAGAAGACAAATTATAGGAATTGTAAGAGTTTGGTAAAGTAATACATGATGTGTTAGTTTAAAGCAATTAATCATGTAAGACTCTAGGCATTAAAGAACCACTTTTCCACTTTCAAATCC